GTTTTCTTGTGCTGTTTTGACGTTTACAAAGGAAAATAGCTCAAACAGACTGTTAAAAAATCAGTTTTTTTGGCGGTCAAATATACCGTCGAGTTGTGTTGCGTCCTTTTTATACGTCATGTAGTGCGCACGAAAAGCATTCTAATCTGACAGGCGTTCCTTGAAGTGAGGGACTGGTGCGAGTTTTTACTGTTTATCGGACGGTTTATAACAAAAGGTTAACATTTTCAGGATCTTTCTCTTACAACTGCATGTAAACTGGGCAGGATTTCAGAATACTAATGCTGGGGTTTGTACCAAAGTGCATTCCTTTCAGGCCCACACCACGCCACCCCCCCCCCCCACCCTCCCCTTACAGAAACAAGAAGGCACTACTAAAACAGCTGAGACGAATACTAAGTTTTGATAGACAGGGAATTAAAGAAAAATAACTAAAAAGAACATATCTACAGTCAACTTAATAATAATAATGTCCTCTAAAATACATTTCACTGTGGAAATCCGCCTCTTTGTAGCGGCGTTATAGCGGTTCCAAGTGGCCCAAAATCCCATACAGTCACTGTAATTTTAGCGGTGTTTGCGCCCCAGCCAAGGTGGCGTCATAAACCGTGAAAAGGTCTATTTGCTAACAGATATTTGTTGCTTCTAATCCTTTTTTTTGTCAAATAAAAATCGAACTCAAATCACCTGACTGCCATATCCATTTTTATCTATTGGCTACTCTGGGGTGTAACTACACCCAGAACTACACCGACGTTATTTTGAAAGGGCGGCCAGGTCTTAATCATGACTGGGCGCCTACCCGCCTATTTTAAACCCGGTTGTAAAGAAAAGATCAGATTTTTCAGATTTTTTTAAAAAATTTTTTTTAAAAAAGTGATGATTGTTTGATCCTTCGACTCTCAGTTGCAACTGAATTGTCAACAAGTTTACTGTTCACATGAAACCAGTTTTCTTTTTTGGATGAGCAGATGAAAAGATATCATTAGACTCCGATATAGATCGATGAAATCGGTAAAAATCAAGATAAACGAAACGAGTGTGTCATCGATTTCTACCGATTGATCGATACAATCGATATCAATCAAATCAGTTTTTCCGATTTTTATCGATTCATCGATTGATAAATCGATGCCGATTTTTATCGATTGACTACTCCGGGATGTGTACATGTGCCATGCCATCTCATTCATGTCCTATGATGTAAGCGACTGGGAAAGGTTTCCAATTTCACAGGAAGCAATGCTGTATTTTTACCCCGAGAACGAATTTTCGTGTTTTGACTCCTCTCGCGTATAAAATTTTGCTTTAAGCCTCTGACAAAATTAAATGGAAGTCAAGAAACGTTGTTGAGTTCGTTTCTTTGACTGGATGTAAGCAGTAACAAATACCGAAAGCTTGCCTTTTTTAATTTTTCTCTCTCTCTCCGGTACCCCTCCCACCCCCTGTGAAAAGGTCTATTTGCCAACAGACATTGACTGTTTCTTCTAATCCTTTTTTTGTCGGATAGAAATAGAACTCTAACACCAACTTCGCTAGAAATCGATAGTCACATGAAATTTCATGATCGACTTTTATCGATTTCAGATACCTGTCGATTGATTTCCACTCGACATTTATCGACAACGATCGATTTTAATGGACTTTCGAAATTGGCTGTGGTCACACTTGGGATTTGATGTTGGTAAAAGGCTTTAACCGTGGTAAAAGGATGTAAAAAAACTTCACTATAGTAAAACTCATTATTTGACTTAACATGTTCCAGATGGTTTCCCAACAGAAATGTGTCACTCAAATGATGAGCCTGAGGACAGGTGATAATTCTTACGACATTCCATGAATGTTTTATTTTTTATCCAGTTACGTGACTGTCTGTACATCATACATTCACTGAAAATTGTGCCGCTGCTTATACTGTTTCTATCCCATTATTTTCACGGCCAAATGTAAGCGGTCCATGCTGAATTACTTCGCGGCTGTGATCGTCTGAAAAACCGCCTGGTGGGATTACAAAACTATTGAGGAACGGTGGAACTCTAAAAGAACATGAAGGTTTCTTAAAAAAAGCATGCCAACCAAAATCCATATTCAGACAATAGATAGAAAGAATGTGGCTACACGGAATAAAAAAACACTTGAATTGAACGATTTACTTCAAAATTTATGCTCCACTCAGAAATGAAACACAAACATTAGATGTAGGCGTATGATTCCTTGAAATCCAGAATTTACTGTGGACTTGCCTCGAATGAAAGCGAAACTTGTCTGAGTCACTGTGACATCTCTACTGTACTGTTTGGCAAGAAAAAAGGAAAAGAATAGGCTGGCGGCGCTAAAAATACATGTATAAGTATTCAGCAACGTGACACTCAGGGAACGCATCTCAAATAATGCAACTAGATGTCAACTGAATAAACAAAGTTTAGATATACCAGCGATAAACCATATCGTTTTAGGAAAGTTTACTATCATGTAAACTTTGCTTTCAATCTACCGCCGTTGCCACCGCAACAGACTAGGTCTGTGTTTACCATAGTAAAATGAGAAAAGCCGGTCACATTAGAAAACGTGTTTACAGTGGTAAACTCGACTTTACTATAGTAAAAAAAGCCCAAGTGTGACCACAGCCATTATCGACATGTAACACCCTTTATGGAATGTCCTTATGATAGTCCTCTTTTTTGAAATATTAAATTTGCATGGTAAAATTCCTTGTTGTTTAGTGTCTGCAGGGCAAAATAAATCACCGGAGTCATCTTAGTATATCTAACATATTTTCCAACAAGACAACATCGTCAGGATTTCTTACCTTTTGCACAACACCCGCGGTAGCAAGCTCAGCTCGTCAGCTTCCAAGAGTTCCAGGCGAGAAAGTCACGCGATGTCTTGGTATTTTGATTCACTTGAATTTCTTCTCGGAATACAAAATGAACTATTGTAATCACCAGCCAAAGAGAGAAGTTTCAGCCTCACAGATCTAAATGACCATCAAGGCGTTCACTGAACTGAAGGTATTTCTGATCACGAGATCAAGTCACTTCCTTGTGAGAAAAGATGTTAGTTTGTACCCAGACTTTACTCGTCTTTGTAGGACCGTGACAAGGTGGGCAAAAGGTTGGTAGGTCGCCGGCAGGCTTTTTTTGGTGTGTTTTTGGCTCGTGTTTTGTAAGAAGATGCAGGAATAATGCAGCTGCGCGAACAGCTGGACTGAGGTTAAACAAGAAAACGGTTGGGGAGGTGCCGAGAGGCTTCTTTCTCTCGGCCCCTCCCACGTCGTTTTTTTCGTTTCACCTCGGTTCATCGTTTGGCGCTGACTAGACGCGCGCGGTCTACGGCGGGGCCGTATCTGTCGGGGAATGAGTGGTTTATAGTGGCAAGCTCTATATGGTCCCAGTTCCTCAAAAGGTGGATTGCTATCCACCGGGAAAATCACTGTCAGGAGCCGATTCACCACCTGTCACTGTCCAGTGGATAACTAGCCTGATTCTCAGACGTCCGATTTCGTTCGCGGTCCCTTCCGCTTACCGCGAACGACCTCGGACGTCTGAGAATCAGGCTAGTGGATAACGCAATTGGATAGCGATTTATTTGACTGTGTCACTTGTTTTTACGGTTTTTCTTCTAGTATTTTGGCCACCCATGTATCCTCTCTTGATTTAGGTCATGTTTACAGTTGTTTTTTTTTTTACCCCTCCTGGGAAGGTAGTGGGCGATGGAGACGATATTCAAGAGCGTCCTGTCCCTACTGGGTCCCCACTATCTGAACGCATAAATCAGGCCAGGGGGCCCAAATAGGGGTCTTCACGATCAAAATTTCCCCTCAGTTTCGTAATACCAACAGTTAGAAGCAAGCAATTCTGTCAAATATAAAGTCATATTTGTGTGTAATGTGAAGTTCACGAGGTTCGAGTTATGTGCATTTCTGGACATAAGTGCAACAAGGTCATTTTTCTTTCCATATAATGGCTCCTTAATATAACATTTCCGAAACCCACGTCTTAGAATCGTTAATTTCGAATCTTGTTATAATCCTAAATTATTGCTTTGACAAAAATCCAAATTCTGGATCTAGAAAAACCAGCTGGGCAACCTCAAACAATACAAGTACCTATGGGAAGATAAACAGCTAGCGAACTTAAAGAATTTAAAAACCTCAGAATAATTTTTTCACTCTGAAGTGTTTAGTACCTGTCATTTTATTCAGTGTACATTAATATGGCTTCGGATAAACACAACAAAACCATTTTCCATGGGTGAATAATATATTATTTAAATAATTTTTATGTTTCTTCGAATCCATAATTTACCGTTTCCTTGTTTCATGTTAAATTCTAAGAAAACGCGTCGTAGCAACTACAGATAACGTTATCTCTTTCACTGCTTTTCAGGGTCCGCAACCTTTTACTGAGTCAACTTAATTTAACGTGGTTAATCATTTGACTCTCTCTCTGTCTCTCTCTGTCCACCATACAGGCTTCAGCAGGGTGTCGCCACTGCAATTCCTTTTCCTCTTATCTCTAGCCTGTAACACAGTGTCCAGGCGAGGATCCACACCGGTTTCAACCGTTTTACGGAGATCGGTCAGATTTTCCACAATAAATATTAGCAAAGACTTTTAACTTTCCAACTGAAATCTGGAAAATAGTTTGGAAAGTCAGATTATATCTTTTCTGAATGAAAGGAGATTCTGAAGAGTTAAAATCCAAAAAAACTTCCCGGGGGTAGCATGCCGCCAGACCTCCCTAAGAGTATGAAATTGGCCAGTAAATGATATATTAAAGATCCACGCCTGGTGTCCTCTTACGGAGGAGAGAAATTGATCTTGATTTAACAAAGCGATCAAATTGCTTAATGAGCCGAGACTACGAAAAGTTAAGACGGGGGATATAGCGATATTTTACAAACATTAAAACACACAGCCCTTCCGTCTACAGTGTAGGTGCCACAAGGCGAACAGCTCCACGTGTAACTTCCCATCCAATCAAAGCAACGTTCTTAAGTCACGTGGGGTCTGTGCAAGCAACTGGTTCTTCACAAAACATTTCATCAAGCAAAGCAAAGCAAGGATTACAAACTCTGACATTCTGATTGTAGCCAAACGCTGGAATCCTGAAAAAGAAGACATGTCCTCGTTGTTAATTTGTCCACTAAAAGATGATGCTAAGAGATGAGCGCCTCTCTTACTCTCTTCACTGGAAACGAGCTCGTTAGCCTGTAGTGTAACACAGGTTTTCCCACTTGGGAAGGAATACATGTCTCTTCTTCAGTTTTGTGTGATTCCCCTCAGTGACTCAATTACGAAAGACCGCCGCAGAATTTGTGGTCCTATGAGCTGGGAAGTTTAAAAACTTAAAGCTCACGATGAAACTTCAACGGCTTGCTATTTCTTAACTTTTAAGATTGCCTCTGTCAGTTTCTGTTAATCAGCAAGAGAGGATATCCTCTCTTGTGATGAGCTGGCTACGAGACAAAACACTGTGACACCTACAACTGATAATACAGTAAACCATGTTGAACTTACGGAGCTGACTGATCTGTGCAGTTGTGACAGAAAACGCGGCCGCAGCATCGACAATGATGGCGTCTTCTAGTCTGCAACAAACACCAAATGCATTTGTGTTCAGCCAATAGAACCCAAACAAATCAAAAGAACAAACACACGTTTTCTAATTTCCAAATCCTGAGAGGTTTGATGTCCATAGAATAACACTGATTGTGCATACACTTACCTATGTTTGGAAACGAAATTTGTTCTGTGGACTTCTGGTGTCCGTTTTCGGTCGAAAATTTTGTTTATCAATTGAGTTGACATAAGGTAGATATCGTAAAATATGAGCTTCTACGGCACAATTTGGGTATAATGTCTATGAAAATGTTACAAAAGATTTGAAATCATGGAGTAAAGGCAACCTCCATTCCAGGGCCCCCTCCCATTTCCTAAAAAGAAAGGCCCTGGGAACAACGTTTGCGTGAAAGTAGCCTTGTATTCAATGAAACAAGACAAAACTTACTTGAGTGAATGGCGCTCGACATTTGCTGTTTGAACAGTAGTTAACAAGCTGCGAAAAAAAAAACATTACCTGCATTAAAAAGTGGTTAAGACTAACCAATCAACGGGCGTGTGATAGCAATCGTGTCAACAATACGGGGATTGAAAAGATATGGGAACTTTGATGTATCGGCACAATATGAAAATATAAGGTTTGAAATATATTTACGTTTTATTTGAATTCAAATAAACATAATTTTTTACTTCTCACGGAGGTTATTTGCTAATAATAATAATAATAATAATAATAATAATGATTTTATTACTTATAACGCGCAAATTCGCATATGTATATGATCAATGCGCGTTACAGAAATAGGCTGATTTAAATAAAAAAAAGTCTTAACTAAGGATTTAAAATTGGTCAAACTCTTTTCGTGTGTTATGTGACGAGGAAGGGCAAAAACCAGGTCCCTGGTGTCGGATTTTCACAAGCAGGTCTAGATCGCGCAATTGTGTTTCGCCTTTTATCGATTTGAAAGTTTTTTGTTTATTGCTTCATAGTGATATCGGTTTTACTTAATGCTACATTTTGACAAACTTCAATCCAAAGACAGTCAGTGGTGAACATTTTATAGCGATCGGACAAAGATAAAATCACTTTTTAGGCGATGGAAAAATATCGGTATGGTTTCCGAAAAACTGTATCGAAACACCTTAAGTAAACAGTTTATTGTATTTGTCCTCTATAAGCCCTAGCATCTCAGTAAAGTCCTTAGGTCTATTCTTACCTCATCTGGTACCCACGATAATCTGAAAGTGTTTTGTAAATGTAGTACCTCGGCTCGGTCCCTCTCAGCTTGATTAAGCCGTGTGTTTGCCTGGAAAAAGAGACCATTTGCTGCACAGTGTACAAGTAACAGACGAAAAATACAGACGTACTGAAAGACCTGAAATCTAGCCTGAAAACTAACCTCGTGAATAGCTGCTTCCGTTTCCTGACGAATTTTGGCCATTTTGTTGACAAATGTAGCTTCACACTGCATCAAACCACAAATAAGAATTTTTTTAATATCAGCAGAGGCGTTCCAATCTCACGTTACGAATTTGTTCTGTAAATCAACTTTCTCACAAAAGAGTAAAAAAAACCCGACTAAATCGATCAATTCACACCAAAAAGCACAGGAATACATCAAAGGTAAGTCTCCTTTATTTATTTTATAGAAAAAAAGTAAAAATAATGATATTTAGCGTTCGCAGACCTCAGTATTTTATTTCTCATACGAAGTCTCAACGGTTACTTGTAACGCGACACTGACTCTCTTGTGAGAAAGTTAATTTACATAACACACTCGTAACGTGAGCTTGGGACGCCTGTGATATTAGTGAACAACAGGACAGCGGAAGAAAGAACACGGCAAAACCTTTTGTTACAACTATGTTCAAAAAGATTTTCCGCCCGGCCAAACTTCATCTTCCTTTAAACAGATCTTTTTGGAAACGCACAGAACACCGTAAAGTTAAGTGAATGATCACGACAAAACCCTCACGTAATAACCCGATCACGTTTGTCATACAAATGTTTTTGCTGACCTCTTCTTTCTGCCCTGTTGTTGAAGGGAGACTTCAGCCTTGAAGCGCGCGGACCATAGTTTGTACTCCACAAGCGCTGAACTTTACTCCATAAATGCATTGTACACTGTACCTACAACTCCGCTAGATAATTTTGATATTCTAGAAGCCGTGAAACCAGCCTCGGTCCCAGGGCGCTTTTCTCGCCCTTCCCACATTTGAAGGAAAAAGCGCTTTGAGGACGCGAGGCACCTCCTCAGAGAAATCAATCTACACATGCAGGAATCAGGTGTCTGGCCTTTCTCACGCTAGCTATGGAGCAGAGAGCAAATACGTCATTTTCTGCTTATTTAGCACACCGAGCGTACTGGAAAAAACTGTCACTGACATATGTATGGTGGCCGAGCACTGCCAATCGAAAAATCCTCACATTGAAGGAATATGAGTTTAAGACCTTGTTTAACTTACATCTGCATCGCTCCTTTAAGAAGGTGATCTTCCTTCCACGATGAAAACCTGTTATCCGCCATCTTCGAGCTTCTTCCAGAGAAAGGGTCGTAAACAGAACACAAAATCTACGTGATGTACGCAATGCATGCTGGTAGTGGCAGCGCTCGGTTGGGTCGAAAATTTTACTTGATTTTAATTTCATTTCAAGTCTCAAGTCTCAAGTCTCAAATCTTTATTTTAACACGGTAAAAATTCATCAGGTTTTTTTGTTACATATAAACTATAACTACATAAAATCATTTTTCAAATCATTTTACTTTGGTTTCATTTCGCTTTATTTTGATTTCACTTGATTTTACTTTCACTTTTCTTTTGAATTAAAATAGAAATTAGAAAGAAAGTGGAAAATGGTTACAGATGAAAATAAAAAATAATTCCTTCAATATGCGAATTTTTCGACTGGCAGTTCTCGGCCACCATAGATATGAAATGACAGAAAAAAAAAGATTTTCAGGTACATGTAAAGTATTGTACGATGATAGACAGTGAAATGGAGTCTGTAGCAATGAAAATCTGTCAGTAAGTTACCCGTTTAATGGCGATATCTTTCTGTTCTCTTGCAATATCTATCTCCTGCTGCAATCTCATAACCTCTTTGTCATGCGTCTAGATAAAGAAAGTGAAAACAAGAGAGAGAATAAAAGTGAATACTTTCCTTGGGCCAGCAGCTCTATCAGAATGTCTTATAACGCGTTTAGGTAGGTACTTCATATCTGTACACTATAGGAATCATATATGAAGTATCTACCAGTGTTGGTAGGATCTACCCGCGTTTAAACGAAAACCGCTGACTGGTCAGATCAACTGCTTGGGTACCAGTCTTCGGAGCAGTCGACCGGATTACCACTCAGGGTCTTGACTAAATACCTGAGAAGACCGTCTTTTTTTTTTTGTTTTTAAGATAAGGACGAAAAACCGTAGCCGCCACCCCTTCTTAAAACACTTCACTGATAGGACTAGTACATGTGGAAATGGAAGAATCGATACGGGAGTAAAGATCTCTGGCCGTAACCACCCCTAGCGCTAGTTGTTAGATTAGGTAGGTTCAGTGCGGTACCGTCATCATTTGGTAGGTCTGTGCCACTTTCTTTTTCTATTTTTATTTGGTACGTCTGTGTCCCGTTCGTTAATCGTTACTATTTTTATTTGGTAGGTCTGTGCCCTGTTTGTTACTTTTTTCATTTGGTAGGTCTGTGCCTTGTTCGTTACTATTTTCATTTGGTAGGTCTGTTCCTTCCATTGGGTAGGCTTGTGTTCCATTCGTTACATCTCGATTTGGTAGATCTATGCCCAATAACGCTAAAACAATGCTTTACCTCAAAAGACTGCGAACAGTCTCCCTTGGAATTGGAACTGAATACTATTAGAACATCTGATACTACTACCAAAACGGCGTTAAACCAGCAAAATAATTTTTGCCGCTTTAACTTACCTCTGCTGCACTAGCGATAGACTGCATGAGTCTTTTGCAACGCTGTTCAAGGTCCTCTTTCTCAGCTTGACACTTCATCAGCTTTTCCTGAATAATAGGAGGAAAATATAAAGATCTTGGGTACCTTTTATACGGGAAACCGGAAATTCCAGTTGGAAATTAAATGGTTCGCGTCAATTCGTCAGGGAAGCTTCAGAAAGTATAGGCTGTATAACAAAATACAAGTTCACTTTTCTCGTCCCAAATGTTTATTATAGGAGTGCTGTTAAAATATCGTGAGAATTTATCCTCGTCCCTCATTGCATCAGAGTTTCCATGTGATTATCTCGACCACCCGAACACATTTTGGGAAGCCTTAGACGATGATTATGGAAACCAAGCTAAACCAGACAACAAGTAAAAGAGGTTTGTCCAGTAAATACCCTTTATTTACTTACAGATTTATGAAAGTAGGGTTAAATACTGAGGCTCGGCCGATTGAAAATAGTTTAGACCGCAGTCTTGTTACGCAAAGCCTTCTTTGCAGACGTTCTGAGACTTTCCGGGTTAAGTCAGTTGCCGTAAATGTGGTTGTGTCTTGATTACGCAGATCAGTGAATTATAAGGATCAAGTACCTCGAGTTTTAAAGGGTTTGCCACCACACACGGTAATAAATCCGGTCTGATGATAGGTTCCACATCAGCTGTAGGAATGTTAGATGATGGAGTGCCGCTCCTTGAACCAAAGAAACGATTAACTACAATAAAAGGGATGGAAAACCAGTACCAGATAAACTGATGTCTTTCAATATCATTGAGCTCAAATTTATATAAATACCCGCCTTCCCAAGGGGCTGGTGATCACCGGCGAACGCTACAGAGAGAATTATTTTGATAATAGTAACAAAGGCGAAAGTAGATGGCTAATGTGCGCGCCTGTCCCTGCAGTGCTTGATAAACTTTTACTTGCCTATCCGCAATTTTAACTGTCGATAAGGCAGACACCTGTCTGAAGCGGTCAGCCAAACTTGGTTTGGATAGCATTTGGCTTAAAGCTGTGTCACTAAAGTAGAAAATGGCCCCTAAACTGAGCGAGGAGAATAAGCACTACAGAGTGAAGCATTGAAGCAAGATTTGAATATCACAGAAAATATAAAGGAAGACAAGGATGGGCAACATCGAAACACCCCATCTAAGAGAATACGGATTCCGGAAATATCCGAAATATGTTATCCGGAATCCGGGAAATTTCAAAATTTAGGCTTTGAAATGTGGAATACAGCTCAAGGAATCCGGAACCCCACTAAACGTTGGAATCTGCAATCAGAAATTTACTGAGAAAGAATCCGGTATCCACGGCGCAGAATCCAAAATCCAAGACTGTCCTGGATTCCATTGCTTGAGGACCGCATTTGCATGGATTTTTTGAAACGTTTCATCTTAACAGTTTTTCAAAGTTTCTCTGCGTTTGTTTGTCACGCTTGGGAGACACATTTGTTTGTCAGATGCTGCGATTTTGTCATTTACAAGTAACATGATTTTCTTCCTGGTACCGAAAGCCAAGTATCTCTAAGAAGAAGAGCTTCTGTAATAATGTCCGGCTTAAGAAAGTTCAGTGCCATTACCAGTAAGACGTTTACCATATAGTGCCTACAGCTCTAAGCTTCTCACCTGGAGTTTCGGACCGAAGCTCCTCACACGAGTTATGCTTTCGAAGACTCTGAAAACAAAGACAATAAAATATGTGACCATAATTTCAACAAATTTCTACAGGATAAGGATCCAAACACCAGAAGTAAAATTAATACAGCTTCTCCCTTTTAACGAGTTGTTGGGGTGGGGTTGAAGGAGATGTAAACACGGGAAAAAGAATTGTGTAATTGAACTGTGGGCATACATTGAAATGTTAAGACACAAATTAAACACTACAGGAGAATGACAAAGAAGCTATAGTCATGCTTGTTTTGATCTGTTAGTTGCTACAGTGTTTCCCCTTAATCGGAGATAAAGTTTTCCACTTCAGTGTAGGTTAAAAATTTGCAAGGAATATTTAACTCACCCAGTCAAGGGACTTTGTTTTGTCTTTTCTTCTTAAAAGTTCTGGTGTCTTCAACAATTTATGTCTTTCTTGCGGATTATCTGAGTTTTTTAAATAATAACAAAAACTGTATGAAAAATCATTAAATTCACAACAAATACAACAGGGATCAATGCCAAGTCACATTTCTAACAACGTTTTGCAGAATACTGTTTATTTTAGCATGCTTAATTTTCACACACCATCGTAAGTGGGTAGATTCATCAATTTTGGCGACCTCATACCTAAGGCCTAAGCTTCCAGAGAGGGTGTGAGAACAAGAGATTGCACCTTGGGTCCCCTGTGTGCTGCTTTCCGCCCTCACCTCTGTTTAGCGCTTGATCACTGTTCACAAGCACCCGCGAGATTTTCGAGCCTGATGAGTATACCATTATTTACAGTTGTATGTAAGGTGTTCTATCCGCGCGTAGCAGGGCTCAGACTTTTCCGTGCTGGGCTATGCACGTGACAAAATGAATTCTTTATCCTTCTTTAAGACAAACCTTTTGCCATCCATTTCGGGCTGTTTGGTGGTACGTTTTCATTAATGTGTCTCACAATCGAAGCCACATACAGCTTTAACATTGGGTCTTTTGTTGAGAACCCTGCAACAGAAAAACATATATTATACAAGTGATTGATAACTACAGTATAATCCTCATATCCAAGTTAACCAGAAAAAAAGCTTAAAAAATCTTTCCATTCCATTAAATTTGTAAATAAGATGGAAGTTCAGTTAGATTACTGACCTGTTGGGGTTTGTAGCCTCTCTTGTAAGTTCTGTACTGCAACATCAACTGCAAGATTATTTTTTATACAGAATTAAAACTCAAAAAGGTTTTATGGCACTCGTAAGTCACAGCCTAGTAGTAGTTTGAATTCATGTACAATGGGAAGAACGTCCCAGACATCCTCAAGTGTATCAAGTTATTCATCCTCAAGTGTATAAAGTTATTCGCCACTTTCAAAAAGAAAAGGGAACCGGAGCCGATATAACGATTTTCGTATGACCACGAAAAATGGTTTCGGTGTGTTCGTTATTTGTTTTATCAGCCAATGGATGAAAAGATCAAAACATGGACTCTCCGTTTTCCCGCCAAAGAAAACCTTAATATGGAGACCGCATTGTTCGATTGACCAATAGTGTTGCAGTATGACGTCAAAGCGAAGTTTGATTGATTTCTAGAAAGTTCTTCGGGCATGACGTCTTTTCAGCCGAGTGTTCGCTTAACCAACCAAACCCACGAGCGTTTGTATTCGTTCGACAAACTAATCAAATCGCTCTATTTCTGCTCGTTTGTTGTTTCTGAGACTGTTTTGTTCGCGCGTTTTTATTTCAAGGTCATACGAAAATGGCTCTATACGTCCCGCAACTGTTCCTGGCCGGGATCGTTATTGGGGACGCGCCGGTCCGTTCGCTATTGGCCAGTTTTTTTCATGTCTCTAGCACAAGTCCAAGAAGTCTTAGCAACTTAACTTCGTTTTAAATTAAGTAAGAGTTTTTGGAACTCAAAGCTTATTTGTAAAAAGGATCTGTAATGTTATCAACTTAATCAAAAAGCTTACACAGAGAAATCTTGCATAACAAGTATTATGGTGGGTTTGTTTTACCTTCCACAGCTCTCAATAGTTGAACCAGCTCCTGTTTGCCACCGGAACGGGATGCAAGGTCTGCTGCTGTCTCTAATGTGTCAGTCAAGGCAAACACTGGAACACCCATCTTAAAAGGGAAAGTAAAGTGGGTGTGGGGAGGGGAGGGGAGGGAAGCAAATCATTAGCGAACATACCGAAAAATTCCGAAAATAAGCCCCTCCAAATATAAGCCCGCCAAACCGGGAACGCAAAAACCCCTCCGTTAAATCGCCCCTCCAAATATAAGCCCCCGGGGACTTGTACTTGGAAAACTGCCCTCAAATACAAAGTAAACCAAAACAAAACCGGTAAATTTACTTCCAACTATAAGGCTAGCCCAATAGATTTTGAAACGCAAATTTCCCTCCGTAGATAAGCCCCTCCGAATATAAGCCCCTCCAAAAATAAGCCCAAAAAGGGCCTTTGAAAAATATAAGCCCCGGGGCATATTTTTGGAATTTTACGGTACTTGGTTAGGTCAAAATAAATCAGTTTGACCCATCCTGTCAAAAAAGGATTTATCAGTATACTACTAAGTAGTAATAACTATAAAAGTTCTATACAGTGCATGCAGCATTTCTGCTTCCATTTTCTGGAAGGTGTTTGCGCCACGTTTACGGTACGGTGATTTCTCCAAAGGAATGTGGTTCGGTTCTCAACAGCTGTTTGTGGGGAGCAGCATTGCGTGAAGACAGAAAGAACGGCTGTGAAGCAGACTATGCCTATGCAAATTGGTGATAATGTCACTTGTCCCTGAGAAACCTGTGGGGATGCCAAATACACCTTCCAAGATCCATTCAACCACCAACGGTCGTCCAATACAATATCATCACCTGACTTATCTCCAGTCATCTCTGACTATCTCTCTCTGGTGGCGTGTGGGGTGTGATGGGAAGGAGGAAAGTGAGGCAGACAGATGACCATCTTTCTCTCTTCACCCTTCCCATCATCCCCTGCTCCCGCCGTGCGTTACGTGCGAAGACTACTGGGAACAAGTCAGTATCATCACACAGATCTATTATGAGGTGCATTTCTTTTGGGCACAATATTTACAAGTTTATTTGGATCTTGGTTAATTTTAAATCATGAGAAAAGCCGTTAGGGAATATTTCCTTTGTAAATTGCTCATATTAATGAACACATTCATCCATTGTCTCCAGAAACAAAAAGTAGCAAACCTTCATACGGTATAACATGATTTGTAACAAGCAGATACCATTTCAGCAAGTAAAGGTCTTCCCTGTACATTGTACTGTAGTATTATAATGTTTGGTGAATTAACTGTGTCTAGGCAAAACATCAAAGTGAGAAAACATGGGCAACCAAACGCAGATTTCTTCTAAGTGCTTTGAAAACATCTTTTAGGCTATCTACAGTGCTTTTAAAGCTGTACAAATGCATTTTAAGTGACACCACAAAATTTTGATCTGTTTGGTTGTAAATTAAGGCAACTTTTAGTTAACCTTTTTAAATTTATTTAAGGTTTTCTAACCTTCCAGAACAATATTATATTCTCACTTTCCAGAAAATCTTATATTCCGTTTTGTCAGTAGTACCTGTATGAGAAGTTCACCACACTCCACATGACTTTCACTTGATCCTTTCCTACAGATCAAATTAATCACTTAATATCAGTAATACCTGGCTGCTTAATCAAAAATTAGAATCTAGACCGCATTTTTGCCTCATTGACATGGACTATTCAATATTCTATTCTGACACAAAATGAAATTATCATGGAGGCATACTGATGCAAAAAAGGTTACTTAATATACAAGTACTTCCAAAGCGGCAGTCAATATTAAAAAAAAAGGTGTGATTACTAGCCTGAAATAAGTGCACAAAATCACTGTCATTTCAGACTACGTGTTTATGAGTAGTTTTTGTGTCAGGCCTTCCATGCGGTACAGAAAGAGACTGGAGTGTACATTTGCATGTTCTGCATAGTTGTTGCTCTTCGTTTCTTTAACTTGTGCTTTTTCTTTATTCATTATGAAACAACAACAAAAGCTAAGTTCATTTATTTACGCAAAAGAGAATGACAGTTGAACCTGAAAAGCACAAAGATGAGCTGGATTATAAAGATAGTGAAGCTCATGATAGTTGTTCAAAGTTTCAATATCATAGTTTGACCCAGACCATTTTTGAAATTGATCCAATTTAAAATGCCACGTGGGATGTATGACCCACTTTTACCAATTTCTAGACTGAACAGTCTGCTTAATAATACACACCACAAGCCAATCTCTTTGTACCACATAATTTATCACTAATAATTATATGCTTTAATTACCTTGATTTAATAGGATTTCATAAAAAATTTGTATAACATGTTTTTTAACCATGCTCACGTAAACTTACCATGCAAGGGTATGAAGAGGGGTCCAAGATTTCTAGATTGGATAACAAAATAAATATTATAAATAAGTAGTAGTCTTGATATTCATTTATTCATTTCTAGTATGTAAGATTCCATAAACTTACATTGTTCACTGCTGTCACATCTGCATTTCGTTCCTGTTGAATTTTAGATAAAATAAATAAATAAGAAGGGATTTAATTTATGTAGCTAGTTTACAGGGCTGATATGTACATGGGTTAACCCTGAAAACTGTCGTGTACAGAGAAACATCATCACATGTGTATTTTGAGAGTCAGAATAACATGCCACACTTTGTGTAAGAGATACAAGGATTAGGAATCAGCAGAGGGTTAAATCCCCTTTAATTAATTACCATCATCATCACCATCACTATATCAAATTTATATCATTCTGTATGGATATTAGCCTAGTCAAAGAATCCTGTAGTTTGGATTTAACTTACAACGCAGACCAGTACCGAAAAATGCCAGACTTTGTAGCAAAATGTGCTTAATTCAAGATGGAAGAAAGCACAAAAAATATTCATCACAAGGTTTTAAGTTTGGGTTCAAAAAGCTTCTAATCATGAGACTCTATCATGGCTTTACAATTGAAGAGGTGCATGAAACAAGGCCCTACAAGGTGTCTGCTAATCTCCCTTTAATTTTCAAACATAATAATACAATACAAATTGATTAATTATTATATATAGAATCAGGGTTTTCATTAAGAATTTAGTAGCAGGAGAAAGGTGTAATGTTTCAGGAGAGTATTGTGAAAGACACTCCGCATCTGAATAAAAAATAGTCATATAGGCTATCAAACATTAAACAGAGAATTCTGCGTAGTAAACAGAGAATTCTCTGATCTCCTTTGCCTAATGAACACACTGTAGAATAATCAGGGGCACCCAACGAGGATATAGTTCAAATCCACTTAACATAGCATTGTTGAACGTATTTTAGTATTTAAACGGTAGATATAGGCATATTTTTATCCCCTAAAAATTTTTCATCTGTTCGGATTTCCTAGCTGAAAGTCTAGTGATCCGAAAATTATAGGGATCAAAACTTACCTTTTCGAAAATTTCAGCCAGGAAAAGGCTCCCGAAAATTCTAGGCGGCCTTTTTTAGGGTAAAATTCCGTTTAAAATGGGTAATTATACCGTTTTGTAGATGTTCGAAAATCCTAGGAGAGGCAGGCAAGCAAGAAATTTTACAACAAATGTTCCGAAAATTCTAGTTCTCAAATCGTCTTCCGAACAGATATTTTGCCAAAAATTGCCGTTGGGTGCCCCTGAATAATGACTGTAACAATTAAGACACTGGGCCAAAATTCTAATGGAAAGTTTACAAACTTTCTCACGGTTGTTAAATTACTAGAGACAAATTGAGACCAAAATTAGTTACCACTAAGAGAGCCACACAAGGGAGATGGCCACCTTCTGCAGCAAAAAAGAGAGGAGTGTTCTTGTCCTCATCTACAAAAAGAAATAACAAAATAATATTCACTGTGATTTCATTCAAATGTAGGATCAAACATTCTTATGGGAAAAAAAAATTACTTTGCCTGTGAATCTTTATTTACCAGTATGGAAGAAATAATTCAAACTGGGTTTGTTCATATTGAAAATTAAATTATTACCTCTAACATTGATGTCAACATTCTCATGATTCAGTAAAGTAACCATGGAATAATGGTCTCCTGGAAATACAGCAACTCTGCATTTTTACTGATATTAAATAAATCAAAATTAATATACTCTGACTGACTAATTATTTTCTAAACGATTAAAATGCATTACAGTGGTACTACATGCATTCAGAGACAGTGGTACTACATGCATTCAGAGTAATCACTCAGTTGAGAAAATATTGAGTCATAAATAGTCATAAATTAATCACATCCTCTTAAAAAGTTACCATTATAAAAAAAATTGCAAAAACACATCTGCAGGCACTAGAAAACATGCATAAGCCCTGGATCACAGATTATTGTACAACTGATCAGCACTGTGAGAAACATTTGAAGTACACGTACAAGGAGCTTTACTGTTGAAGTACACATGTATGACTTGCTAGTTTTTGACTTGGTTAGTTTTCGGCAGTGCTTTGATATTAGATTAATGATAAGCATATTATTACCTGTTTTAGCAGCTTCGAACAAAGCCCTTTTCCTTTGTTCAGGATTTAAACTAGACAAACTTGACACCACAACAAATGCATCACATGTTGCAGATGACGTTGAATTTGCTAAAGATAAAAGAAAATGTCATTTTCATAAAGACCTTTTCATTTCTATGCACTGTTATGCTGTAGTTTAAAATGAAATTTACTGTAGTGGTTTCATGCTAGTTTGATTCTCAGTTTCCTCTTTCTCCTAACTGTTTGGCAATGCAAGGAGACAGTGTAACACTTCAGAAAACAAGTTTGCCATCCAACATAATTTTCCTGTTGATACAAATTTATGTCATCATCATCATTATCATCATCACTATCATCATCATTATTATCATTATCGCCATCAACAAGCCTCTCAGTACCAGAATTAGGAAAACAGGGACCTGAGGACATCTTTATACTCCGGTATTTATTAATTTTATATTTATTTCATTTAGCTATTAGTCAGACTGCTTGATTTTTTAAAGTAATCAACAATATCATATAATATCTCTGATGGGTAAATTTAACACACCTCTTCCTGTTCTAGCCTCTTCTATAGCTGACAGAGCCTTCTGGGTGTTCATTTCATCTTCTTTTTGTTTTAAGAGACATCTTGTACATACCTAGCAGAATGATAAAGGACCACAGTAGATCAATGCTAAGTCAATTGACCACTTTTTCAATGGCCCTCTAAAATGTGAGCAAGCAAATTTTTTGACACACATATTGGCAAAATGAATTTTTGTGAAACAGACAAATTGCAATAGAAATTCTATAATAGTAAGTATGCCTCAGTTCCTGTGAGTGCACTTAAAACTGGAGCCATACTGATGCAGTTGCATGAATCTTACCATAAGACATTACAACAATCAATTATGTTCAGTATAAAGACATTGCACTTTTGCCTCTTAACATTTGTATGTCAACACCAGATGTTTTGTGATTGAGTCTGTCAAGTTTAATGGAGTAATGGCAAACAGTTACAAAGATCGTTTGCCAAAAGAAGAAAAATTAACTCCCTTTCTTACATTCGACTCTACATTACTGATAAAACTCGGCGGATTCATTATTTTTATAAAACATACATGTAACATGATATTGAATGGATGTAATAGCAGGATTTAACTATTTACTTATTATTTGACAAAATAAATTTTTAACAGTGACGTACCTTTACAGCTTTCTTAACAACAACATGACAGGTAACACACACTGCAGTGGAACATGTACGACAATGAGAACTAACAAACAAAAGAATGTGGAATTACTATCATGACAAGAGGTAAGAAAGTGGTGCATCATTCTACTTAAATTCTAAATCTAAAGAGATGTTTAAGCACCTTACTCTTTCATAAGAGGGAGAAAAAGAAGGGGAAGAATAATAATCATTATTTATATTATGCAAATTAACATAGAAATATAATTAAATTGACATTAATTAGACATTAGAATTAAGGAAGTATATACGTATTAAGACTTCACCTGTCCTTTACTAATCTTGTTTCTATAGCATGACAAAGCAACTCGGAATATTTCTAATCCCCCCTGTCAAAAGGTTTGCTAGCCCATAATGTTACATTTGCTTGTACTGGTTTATACACCTGGATGGAGTGCCAGTCGCGTCGAGAGTAAACTGCCTTGCCCAAGAAATTATGCATTAAGCAAGGTCAAGGACCCTAGCTAGCGAGGGCTTGAACCCAGGTTTTTTTATCTGGACTGTCTCCAGTGCACCGACAATAAGGTTATTATGCCTCCCAGATTTCAGAGTACTATGTGTACGCTGTACATTTTAAAATGAAAATGGAATCCATGCATGCATTATGATAAACATTAATCTACATGTAACAAGGGTAGCTCCAGTGTTAACTTTTTTTATTTACAATAATATATATTAAATTGAGTAAACATTATAAGATGCTTACCGCCCTTTGATCAAGTTAGTTCCCCAATACTTCTGAAATATTGTTCCACACTTGGAACAATTCTGCCAAATAAAAAGTAACAATTTATCCTGAGTTCTACAAGTGCAAGCAATTATTCATGAGTACAGTTTACACTGTAACTTAGTTAACAGTTGTAAGTAACGTAGTTAACTTTCCTTCTTCTTGAGGAACAGTTCATGCATCAGTACACTCACTCTTGTTTTTGTAATACAGTGCAATGGCCATCTTTTTCAAAATACCATTATGTCAAAACAGTCACGTAAGTGTGTGCTAACTATCAAAATACCCTCTGCAAATGAGCCACACTTGTATATAAATAGCCAGCAGTATATCAGTCCTATCCATTTGAGTGTTGTCTCACATTATCAGGGTGGAGTACCTGTAAACTAGCTTGAGCAGCTTGGTGCCTTTTTATCATAAAACAAAGCATTTACCTTTTTTAACTATTAAACCTTGGATTATAAAGTTAGCAATCACTAACCTTGCAATCGCAGGACTTGTATGATTTTTTACAGTCACTACACCTTCTTGTAAGGCCTGCAGTGTCACTTCCTTTTGAGTTCAAACATAGATTCAAAGAAGAAAGACTGATTTCATTCAATTGAAGATGACCAAGTTATAGAAAAGAACACTTGCTGTACCACACTTTGTCACTCATATAATCATTATAACGCCAAAATTTTCAAGTCTTTTATACAAAAACTAAAATCCACATTTGACAGCTGGCCGTCTTTTCATTTAGATTAAGGAACTTTTAGCCTGAGAAAACAGCTAACAGTTAGCGATGCTACCACTGCATTTCCACAAAATGATGTCTGAAAAACAAGCGCAGAAATTCCATACAGATGACGCATCACTACCCAGATCTGGGTAGTCTCCTTCGCAGCCGTTATTAGGGTCGTCACTCGTCACGCAACGCGAGTGACGACCCTAATAATGGCTGCGAAGGAGACTAAGATCTGGGTAGTGCTTCTAATTGATCAAACCACATGGGAATTTTGATTCAACCAATCAGAAGCACTACCCAGATCAGGGTAGTGACACGTCATCAGTATGGAATTTCTGTGCTCGTTTCTCAGACGTCATTTGGCGGGGAAACCAGTGGTAGCATCGCCAAATGTCGGCTGTTTTCTCAAGCTAAGGAATTTTATACCAAACAGAATTTATAAGCTCTTTAATATCATCAGTGTATCATGCAATGCACGCATTTCTAGTTCTACTAACAATGTAGCAGTATGTTTGAATATTAAACTCATTGTCTTTACTTAATTATCTTTTATTTGCATTACCCTTTTATTTATAGAACATCATAAAGTTTCGTGGACGCGATATTTCAGACAATATGTGTTGAAACTTAAATTAGAAAACAATACATAGTCATAGCTGTCAAATAAAAGTTTACATAAGACTGCAGCAGTATACAGGGTGTGAATGAAACGTTAAAACACAAACTTACCTTCATTCGAGCTTGAACCATGGGAACCTTCCATTTCTTATAAAATTATTTCTTTCTGATCATTTCACAATGAAAAACAAATTTCGCAAAATCACAAGTGTTTGAGTTTGTATTTCTTACATGACTTGGTATCCGAGCCTGTACAGGTGACCGTTTTGTTTCCAAGGTCCCGCGAGACACAGGGCAGGTACAGCGGGAGCTACAGCTGCACAATATACAGGCGACGTTTTTGATGCAACAGAAAGTGTAAATTGAACGTGTTTTGAGCATGATTTTAGCCTTTCTAGTAGCGTCTATTATTTTTGGTGATTTACATATCTTCAATTTGGGGAAATTGGTTTATCGCGTGACCAACGACATGACAAATTCGTGCAGTGCCGCCAGAGGGAGTCCAGATTAAGGACATCGAGAACATCGAGTGCAAGTACGACTCCTAAATTGGCATCCATTATTTTTTATATCGGCACCCCCCTCTCCCTACTGAGGATTAATGATATGACTTCTACTCGCAAGAAATGTACTCTTACAATAGCAGCAGAGGGCTGTAGCTCACAATTCCCCCAGACCCTCCGTGGCTTGCACCTTTGGTGGTCACAGATGTCGCCTCAGTATCTGTACCAAAACTCTGGCTATGGCCGTGGGTAGAGCATAATGTTTTAATACTAGCCGTCATCTCTGTTTGTGCTTTTCAGAATGACGTCAGAATTACAAGTTGAAAAATGGAACACCGAAACAGATGGACCTCTAAATGAAGCCAGCATGAGGAGAAAGTTAAAATCACAAGGCTACTCCTGCATAAAATACACTTTTCCTCCTGGTACAGACTTTCCTGATCACACTCACAATGTCTCTAAAAAGGATTCAATAACCCTATAACTGAAACCCTGTTCTAAAAATGTGCCAATTTTTTATACTCCGTTCTAGAGAGTTTGTAAATTGAAATAGTCCTGTCTTTTTAAAAAATATATTTCTTTATTTGTTTGACTTATACATCAAATAAATGCTTCTTCATAATCAGCAACAATTTTAAGCAGAAGATAAAGCCGTGATCCACAATTTTTATACCCCGTTCTAGAAAACTCCTCTGAAATGGATACCCTGTTCTAAATCAGGAGCTTCAAAATCACGACCCCGTTGGGCGGCACATACCCGTATAGGTAATGTATGGAAGTACCCCCGGGGCACGCGAGAGGGAGACACAAGTGTCTCCTTCTCGCGCGCACGTTTTTTTCTTGTGCCCACTACTTCCAAGTGCCTGCTACGCAGGCTTATTAAAACTGAGATTAAGTAATCTTTGAAGTTTTTGGTCATGCCTGTTTACAGCTACTTACAGCAGTGACCCAGGGCTCACAACAATATAACATCAGGGCCATTGTTAATTCAGTTTTTTTTTGAGGGGCTAACACAAACATTTGGTGTGTCAGAAAGTTGTCCACCATGCTAGCCCATGTGTAGCATATGTGCTTGAAAATAATGGGTGCAAGAAAGAATTGGGCGATGTCTCCCTTTTTTTGTACGCCTCTGTTTTTTTGGCACCTGTTTCTTCCAAGTGCCTTATATAATGGCTACATATTTCCATGTTCAAAAGTTAATGAGGGAGAGTGTGGGGTTGTGGCAGAGCTGATCCTTGGAAAGCGTATTGTGTCGAAAAGTAGTTTAAGCCTGCATACACAAAATTTTAAATTGAAAAAAAAATTATTCCAGATTAGCTTTCTAAATTCATTTATAAATGCAATTTTCCCTTGGAAGTTATGGGTGCGAGAGAGAACTCAGCTGCATGAGCGATGGAGACATGTGGGGGGAGAGGAAGCAAAGTCGTGTCCTCCTTGTATACCCCATCCTTTCTTGCCCCCATTTTATCCCTAAGAAGTTACTATGCAAGCTGCAGGCTAAATTTTCAACCTCGTCCCCAGGGCTTTTCCCTTAAAAAATGGGTGGGGCAGAAAATTTTTTAAGGGAAAAGCCCTGGGGACGAGGTTGGCTAAATTTCTTGCATCCCAGGATAGCTTTCATATGGTTTGGGGATTGAGGTGGGACTGGGATGTAGGTTGTCCTTCATTTACCATAAATGGTCGACTAAGCGCCACGACGCTAATTTAATTCTTCCTGTTACAGGTGCAGCGCTTATTCGAGAGCGGCGCTTATTGAATTATTTTTGGTAAAGGTGCGGTGCTTATTCGAGTAGCGGCGCTTATAAATCGATCATACAGTAAATTACATTTTCCTTTAATTTTGGTAAGGTGGCTTGAATCAAAGGAAAAGAAAATTTAAACCACTGTACTAGACCATGGTAAACTTCAGTCTTCTGTCCTTAGCCAGAATTTCAGACGATTACTTCGCGTCGTTTTTATTCCCTTGGGCCCTATTCATGAAAGGCTGATTACCGCTGTTAATCCAGGATTGAAATTTTATCAGCCGTTTTTTTTACCTTCCCGTTTATTGCTTGGAGTAACATTTTGTGTTATCATTACTGTTTCTCGGAGTAAAGGCTCATCAACAGTATAGCCTGTGTACAGGTAAGGGGCGGCTGTACACAGGCTACAACAGTATTAAGTAAGCCAGAAATTCATAAGGGGTTGAATCAACCCCTTTGTCTTGTTTACTGTGGGTAATGTCGACTGAGATAGCGGTCGACATAGCGGTCGACATAGCGGTCGATACAGTCGGTCGATAGTCGGTCGATAGTCGGTCGATAGTCGGTCGACAGTCAGTCGATAGTCGGTCGATAGTCGGTCGATAGTCGGTCGATAGTCGGTCGATGGTTGGTCGATAGTCGGTCGATAGTCGGTCGATAGTCGGTCGATAGTCGGTCGATAGTGAGATAGACTATCGGCCGAGTATCGGTCGATATGTTGACGACGCACCTCGACTTACTATCGGTCATATGTCGGTGATATATCGGTGAACTGTCGGTGGTATATCAGTCAACTGTCGGTGGTATATCGGTGAACTGTCGGTGGTATATCGGTCAACTGTCGGTGGTATATCGGTCAACTGTCGGTGGTATATCGGTCAACTGTCGTTCGAATATCAGTCGTGTGTTAATTTATCAGGTGAGTCCAATGGCTTTTTTTTAAGCAAAGACGTCATTAATTACTGTTATCATGCGATGGGGGGACATGTGGCAGTGCGAGGCGCGATTACTCTATGAAGCGAACCGAAGAGCACTGGGAACTAAGGACATGATAATCATTTTTTTTTTTTCCAGTTTGTATCATCACCGATCGTCTGAGTTTTAGCTGTTAAACAGAACCTGTCTCAGCGTAAGTTGAATCTGCTGCTCCTGTGGTCCCGCAGTCGAAGAATACTTAATAAGGACGAGTAAAATGACTGCTCCCGCAGTCCCGAAGTGGACGAATAATGAATAGGAAAAGGCAGTTTATGACATGCTTTAAGAGCGAGGAATACACATCTTTTATTATCGGGCTTTGACCTGCTTCATCACGCCAAGTTCTCGTTTGTGCAGAGACCACAAATTAAACCTATATATTTCTGCATTGAAGACGGGAACAGTCCTTTGTTTAACGATCACTTATTGATAAAACGCGCTGATAATGCGCCGAGGAAGGTGACAAAAATATCCAGCAGACTGAACACATTCACTTATTGTGGGAATGATTTCAATTTACAGCAAGGAAAATACTCATACGTGCTCATTACATTATCCTGTCCTTTTGCTCTGTCCTTTCGCTTTATATTTATATTGTGTTCAAAACAAAGACACTTCTGGTCATCCAATAAAAGGAAAACAGTATGCGTCGCGTTAACATTAATATTATCTTAATTAACTTGTTAAGGAAAAACAAGTTAAAAAAAATGAACTGTAAATACATTTTTTCATCAATGTAGTTCTGAGTCGGTTGAAAAATTCTCGGCATAGGAAAAATCAGCCAGATATAGGCCTTACACGGTGGGAATAAATCACATAACAAGAAGCTGAAGGCCTATCATTCTCACTTAGCGGACTTCTTCATGATTCAATTCTAGCCGGCTACGCGTAGCGAGACACCCCCACCCCTAAAAAAACCAGGGGAGGAAACGTCTGCGAAAAGGTGGTGGGCATCGATACAGATAGGCGGCTAAATCCCGTCCACATGAATTAAAAGAAAAGGCTAGATAAATGACTAATAGCTATTATTCCGGAATTTTGGCTAAGTACATTGAAGTTTGAAATTAAAAAAGCAGAAACCTAATTTAAAAAAACAGTTAGGTCCAAGCTAGAAAATGCTTTCTAATTTCTTGTTTTCCAAGCCAAAAAATGTAGGAAATGCTAAGTGTCGACCGACCATCGACCGAGTGTCGACCAATTACTGACCGATACATTGGTCAAGTATCGACCAAGTATCGACCAACTATCGGCGAAGTGTCGGCGAAATGTCGGCGAAGTGTCGGCGAAGTGTCGGTGAACGAAAAGCTATATCGGCCGAGACACATCTGGAACGACTATCGACCGTGTCTCGACCGAGTGTCGACCGACTATCGACCGACTATCGACCGCTATGTCGACCGACTGTCGACCGAGTGTCGACCGAGTATCGACCGAGTGTCG